ACCCGAAAATAAATGAATCACCCAGACCTCCATGTGGCTGAATGGTACACACATGTAACTGTTAATTAATGGGTCATGAGTTCGACCCCTAACCCCCCCCCCCCCCCCAATTTGAAATAAAAAGGCAATCGGCCGCAATCCATCGACTGAGATTAGACTCAAATGCAAAGACAACCAAAAAAAAAAGCTATAGCCCTTTGGGAACCCCAGATCGCCGTCCTCGGCACACTTCTCCAGTAAATGGAAAAAAAAAAAAAAAAAAAAAAAAAAAGAAGACACGGGAAGAAGGATATCCACAAAATTTGCACCACCAGACAAGGGAGGGAAGCGAGATCATAACCGTCAAGAGAGAGTCCTAACGCACACTAGAACTTCCCTAAATGTATCTAACTGCAATTCCGGCCAGAGCTGGACGAACCTGACTGCAATCACATCCAGCACTCAGCAGAAAACAATCTAGTGTTCGTATGCCCCGAGTATATTACCATATGTTCTGTGAACATTGCTAGAACATTCCTCTGCACTTTTTCTCTCAAGGACAAATTAATAAACGGCACCATCATGTGGAGGACCCCCGCCCGCCGCCCCCTGGGAGTACGGGGACCGCCCTCACTCGTGAGGCGCAGGGGCCCAAGGGAGACCCGCTGCAATTGTAGTTTTTTCGTTGCCCATCTGACCGCACTTGTTTGCGAGGCACGGGGGCCCAAGGGAAAGCCGCTGAAATTGTTATTTCTTCTTTGGCCGTCCTGGCGTGAGTTCGCAGGCCCACGCGAATCAAAGTTTCATCCCCGGTCGTAGGAGGTCAAGGCCGCCGCTGCGCTTTTTTCTCTTTTGCGCCCGTGGGTGGCGGCCTTCGTTTCCATTCGTGCGCAGCTCTTTGTTTTCATCGGTGCCTGTGGGAGATCAAGGCCGCTTCCATTCACGCCGTTCGAATACAAGTTCATAGCGTGCATGGCTGCAAGACTCTCTCTCTCTCTCTCTCTCTCTCTCTCTCTCACTCACATACACAGACACACACACACCAAAAAAAAAAAAAAGAGGTAAAAAACGGATAAAAAAAAAGAAGAAAAAGAAAGTGTGGCACAGTGGCAGTGTGTATTTCCATGTTCCGGGTGAAGATTCATTCCGATTTTGCTCATCCTACACACACACCGACATTGCCATGCTTCACCAAATGAGCAAAACGGGATTGAATCTTCCCCTTGACCATGGAAATATACGCTGCAAAAGACCGAAAAAGTGCAGTGTTTATTTCCATCTTCTACCTACAGTTTCATTCCCATTTCGCTCACCCTATGGATGGAAAACTGCCTCTCTCTCTCTCTCTCTCTCTCTCTCTCTCTCTCTCTCTCTCTCTCTCTCTCTCTCTCTCTCTCTTACACGCACGCTGTGGCATTTGCAGCTGACAGCTCCTTCCTTAGTCCATACTCACACGGTGACCGGGATTTCTTTTCAATGTATGTGTCCGTCGCAGTGTATCTTCCTATGTTCTTGTGGAAGATTCCTTCTCATTTTGCACATTGGCGGGCCGCTCAGTTGATGCACACACAAAACTGGTGAATTGCACGGGTAGGTTCCAATCAATGCGCCGACCACAATACAATAGTTCTGATTTAGAAAGGATCCGACGGCATGCTGACGCCTTGGCCGATGCGCCGCCCCCAAATGCTTCCCGTCCCTCATGTGCTCTAAAACAAACACCCTTGATCTCCCCGGGGCCAGATAATTTGTGCCTGCAGTGGAGCTGGAGCAGGGCCACGGCAGGTTCACTTGGTTTTTTAAATAGGCATTAAAACAAAACAAAAAAAGGCATACACAGACGATCAAAATCTAAACTTAGGGCACACTCACACTAGCACTTATTTTACCCAGCTCTCTAGACGTAACTGCGGTCAGATACACCCACGCTTGGCCAGAATTGCAGCCAGATTCATCCACAAAAGTCCTAGTGTGAGGATTCCCTTAGTAATTTGCACTCTCCGAACGAAAAAAAAAAAAAAAAAAAGAACGCCTCATTGGTTCATTGGTCATTGACAATGAGTACAAACACCCCTACACACCAGGTAGAAGACCCCCATAAACGGTTACTTGCAACCCTCCCCAGGTAGAAGACCCCCATAAACGGTTAATTGCGACCCTGAACCCGCCCACACACATTTTAGCTCCTGGTTAAACGGGCGTTAAACGAGCCCAAAACTGAGAGCCTGAACTTGAAGAAGGAAGGAAGGAAAACACAATAAATGGGACATTCAAAGCTGTGAGGATAAAGGTAAAGCCTCACACCAGTCATAAACCCCGAGAAAAACATAAACACTATCCCACGTGGGACTTCCGGCTGGCTAAGTACCGGCGACCAAGTCCCACATGACCTTCAAAGCTGTGTCTGAAAGCAGCATGAAGTTCAAAATTCCCATTTCTCCAATTCTCAGCCGCCTCAATTTCCGCACTCCAATTCGATTAGAGTGAACCAACACATAACTTCCCCACAAACATTCCATACCCCAAAATCTCTCTCTCTCTCTCTCTCTCTCTCTCTCTCTCTCTCTCTCTCTTGCTCGCTCGCTCACACACACACACACACACACACACACACTTTCACACAAACACCAACGTACATAAGTACACACGATTTATGCGACATTTACGAGAGGACGGCGACAATAACTTCCTCGTACAAAAAAAAAATGTGACAGGAAACACTGCGAATGAACCGTTAAACAGCAATAACGAGAGCGCACATTTGTGACAGGAATACTACCTACCAAGGAACCATGAGGGCCATCACATTCACGACAAGCATGTTAGACCCACTCGACAAGCTTAACTTATCTTCATAGGATTGTCATGCTGATGATGACAATATGATAATGATTGGAGAACATAAGTGATTTTCTATCCCGAGCTAGAATATGTTGCGGCAAGAAGAGCAGCGCCCAGACCGGAACCGTCCTTCGCTAACACCAGGTCCACGTAATCCGCATCATCCTCGAGCAGTTCCGCCAACGTATCCTTCAACTGCGTGCGGAAACTGCCAAAGTGTTCATAAACTCCACCGTCGACCGCGACCTGGATAGAAAAAACATCATTTTATTAATTTTTTAATATTTTTTAATATTTTATCGGTCAAATCTAGGCTACCAGCCGGGCCGCCCGGGTCCCTGGTGGCCAGCCCGTGCAAGGAGGTCCCAGCAAAAAAAAAAAAACAAAAAAAAATCCAAAAAATCCGAAAAAAAAAACTATGTTATGCAGAAAAATAAACTGAACAACTTTTGCCTCAGGGTCACATCGAAATTCTTTACCAAAATTAAAATAAATATTAAAAATTAAAAATAAGTTTTTTATTTTTATTTTTTTGGCCCGACCGGGCAAATGACCCCGGGCCACTCTGGTAGCCTAGGCGTCAAATACCATAAAAAATGTAAAAAAAAAAAAAAAAACTCACAGAAAATGGTGGTGACCTTTGGGATATCCATTAAATCAATTTAAATGAAAGTCGGGATGATTATTTCAATAATGCAGAGAAGCTCCTGTGCGAGGAACGGCATTTGGATCCATGGAGAGGCAGTCCAAATTACTCAAGAAAAAAGAAAAAAAAAAGAAAAAAAAAAAAAGAAAAAAAAAAAAAGAAAACAGGAGTTGGAGGATGGGGCAGCTCGATACCCAGGCCCGGCTGGAGACGGCTGGCATACCCGTAATTGCATGGCACTCCACTCTCCTTGTTTCTAGCATTCCAACCAACATTCCTTATGCACATTCTCGAATGCATTTCTTATATACGTTTCTAGTACACATTCTAGTATACATTGTAATATACATTCCGTTACACATTCCAGCATAGAATGCATACTAGAATGTATATTAGAATGCATACTAGAATGCATACTAGAATGTATACTGGAATCTACACTAGTATGTCTACTGGAATGCGTACTGGAATTGTACAATAGAATCATGACTGGAATGTTATACAAGAATGTGTGGTAGAATGTTATAGTGGAGTTTGTACTAGAATGTATAGTCCGAGAATTTTTACACTAGAGCGTGTACTGGAATGTACAAGTATTTGAATGTGTACTAGAATGTTATAGTACAATGAGTACAGTGCATTCCAGTATAGATTGCATACTAGAATGTGCACTGGAATCTACACCAGCATGTGTATTGGAGTGTGTACTGGAACGTGTGCTGGAACGTGTATTACAATGTATACCAGGGTGTGTACTAGAATGTGCACTGGAATGTGTATAGAACGTGTAAAGTCACTAGAATAGCTTAGTGTCACTAGAATAATGCCACTAGAATAGTCCCACTGGAATAGCTTGGTGGCATCAGAATAGTCCCACCTCAATAGCTTTACTACCACTAGAATAGTGCCAAGCTATCGCAGTGGGACTACTTGGTGGCACCAAGTTATTCCAGTGGGACTATGCTAGTGGCACTAAGCTATTCTAGTGGATTGAGTTAAGAAAATCCTGTGGCACTAAGATAATTTAGTGACCGCAGTCAGAAAAGTCTGCTGGATACGACTCACTAAAAAAACACAAAGCTGAACCTGCTGCCACTAGAATAGCCTCCTGCCACTAGAATAGCTTCTAGTGATACTACATTAAGAGAAAACGAAAAAGCTTACTAGTAAAACACTAAGCTGAACCTGCTGCCACTAGAATAACGCCACTAGAATAGCCTCCTGCCACTAGAATAGCTTTTAGTGATACTACATTAAGAGAAAAAGAAAAAGCTTAGCATAGCTTCCTGATAGGCATAGCACGGCGTAGTGCCCCTGCCATCTTCACACGAATAAAACGCCTGGCCATAATAGCTGCGTACTTGGTGCAATTTTTCAGTCTAGGTGCATCCGTACTGACCAGGCACTGTATTCCGGGACGGTAGTCGATGACATTCTACAGACAATGGGCCTCGCTCCACTACTCATCCACATGCACAAAAGACAAAAAACATTGCGGTGTTATCTTCCCATTATTATTTTTTGTCCGTGTATCTTCCCGTTTTTTAGCGGAAGAGATTCAGTCTCATTTTGCACATTCGGAGAGTATGGATTTGGTGCAATTTGCAATCTAGATACAACCATGATGGACGGGTTGTTGTACATGATGGATGGGTGGTTGTATTCGCGTGAAGACGGTAGTCAATTACATTCTACTCACAATCATAGCTGCACTTGGTGCAATTTTCAGTCTAGATACAGCCATGATGACCCGGTGTCGTATTCGGGTGATGAAGGTTCTCGATCACATTCTACTGGCAATCTCCACTGCAGTGACCAGCAAACATCTACTCGGACACAATACATACCATAATACCATATATTAGAAACAAAATAATAATAACAATAATAATAACCCCAACCCCTGTGCCCCCCTCCCCCACCCCCTCACCATATAATAGTTTTGCCTTGGTCAAAAAAGCACGGTACGTGCACATCTGACACGATTAAAAGGGGGGGACCAGTACATTCAACCCGTCTTTCGCCAATTAAAAAAAAAAAAAAAAAAAAAAAAAAAAGACTAGTAATATCTTGCTGCATGCTGCTGCAAGCGTTGGACGATCAGCATCAATCTCTCTCTCTCTCTCTCTCTCTCTCTCTCTCTCTCTCTCTCTCTCTCTCTCTCTCTCTCTCTCTCTCTCTCTCTCACGCGCGCGCACGCGCACACCTAAAGTAAAAAAGAAAGAAAATAATAATAATAATAATAAAAAAGGCAATGTCTTTGACTCTGTTCCAAGAACGAGGGGGGCTCAATTGGCATACTGAAGATGAGGCAGGTACAAGAACCAGCCACTAGGACCCTATCAGTTGGAGCTGCACGTGATGGAGATTGAGCTGAAGTGAACTCGTCGTTAAGAAAGAAAAAAAAGTAAAAAAGAAAARAAAAAMAAAGAAAAAAAAAAAGAGAGAGAACGATCAGTTACTTTGCTGTAAATAAATATACTGAAAATGACAATACAAAGAAAAAGAAGGAAAAACTTCAAAAAAGAAAAAAAAAAAAAGAAAAAAGAGAGAACGATCAGTTACTTTGCTGTAAATAAACATTAAATATTAAATATAAATAAAGATTAAATATTAAATATAAATAAATATTAAATACACTGAAAATGACAATACAGGACACCCGCCACATTACATGCAAACCGAAAAAGAAAAAAGCGAGTAAATATTCCCACAAGCGGACAAAATACATCCATTAGTATTCGCACATGCATCTTGCAAGCTTCCGTGGGAAGATGGGCTCCTGTTTTTTTTTTTTTTTTTTTTTTTTTTTTTTTTCCTGAAGCCCAACATTGACCGATCACAGACAAAAGAATGGTGATGCACAATACACATCCATCACCAACAAAACAGAGCTCACTAAGGTTAAACCATGTCTCAGTTTTTTTATTTATTTTTTTGCGCAGGGGCCATGCTTATCTTCTCTGAATTATCTAGCATGTTATAGATCGCACTGGAATGCATGATCTTACACACGATGCAATGGTATTTTTTAAACATTTTTTTATTATTTTTAACGATTTATTTTTTTGCACTTTGCAAGTTTTTTTTTTCAGTCTTTTGTTCTCTACAATTCTATTATTCCATTACATTTGGTTACATGACACTTTCTTTTCTTTCTTTTGAATTCCACGTGTTACTCATTCTATTGGTCACCTTATGTTATACTCAATGGCAGTTTAAAATTTTCATCAGATTGAAAAATCTCCATTTGACAACATCGTGCTCTACTCTCTGAATTATCCAAATTTCTCCAGCAAAAAAGTGAAAAAAAAAGGTAGAACACAGTGAAAACACTTCAGAAAAAAAAGGTTCTTTTTTTTTTTTTTTTAAGCAAAAGGAGTGTTAAAAAAAAACACATACCGCCATCTTCTGCGTTAGTGGTGGTGGCTTATCATTGTTATTGCCCCTGCGAATCCGTTCCAGCACTCCATACACTCCCGCCGCAGCAAGGCGGGCTGCCCTCTCCGTTACAATACTACACACGTCCTGGACGAGCTTTCTTGTGTTCAAAGTCGTTTGTCGAATCTGCTCACACACACACACACACACACACAAACACAGACACACACGATTCAGTTTTATGTAAGTCTGTATTCCCCCTGTCGTTTGTCGTTTCTCTGATTTTTTCCAAGTATTTTGTTGTGTTCCCAACTGAGCACCCTCAAGTAGTGCCAAATAGTCGGCGGTTCCTCGTTTGTCGTTTCTCTGATTTTTTCCAAGTATTTTGTTGTGTTCCCAACTGAGCACCCTCACGTAGTGCCAAATAGTCGGTGGTTCCTCGTTTGGAGTGCCTACCGCTCGGTTCGGGATGTCTGTGTTGCCTGTGGGTGATGGCGTATGCTTGTCGAAGAGACTCCCTGGCTCAGTGGGTGGTGGGAACCAACAGTCTGCAGGGTTCAATCGTGATGTGAGTAGGTCATGTGCTGCTTTGCCCCGTGTTGGACATGTGGACTGCCTCGTCTGCACTCTAACTGCCTTGCTGCCTGTCCCGCTGCCTTCGCATGTGGTTCTCTGCAAATCGCTGTGTTCGCTGGGCGGTGTGGCCAAGTTGGTGGTGTTGCCTTGCGCTACGCTGCTCTGCTGCCTTGCTGCTCATCCACTGCCGTCCTCGAGAGCGTAAACTTCCCGCCCGAGCACCAGATCGACTCACCCACAACAGGGACAGCGCTCATGCCCATTGCAGACAAAAAATGCTACCAGAAAAAATGTTATCGCCACTCCAAGCTCTCCAAGGACTTTCCAAAGTTTCTGGTCATAACAGAACCGCGGAAGGTGCTGCGTACTTTGCCTAAAGGATCTTTCAACAACCCACCAAGTATGAAAGCGACCACGGAACCTACCTTGCGCAAGTTTTGAACACAGTGCTGATGACACACTCGTGACAAACTAAGTACTGCAAGAGCCGCGGTATATGGACCATATCTGGAAGACAAACAAGACCATGGACCTCGCTCCACTACACAACACTCTTTCATGCATTTGGACGCATTCTGCACGCAATACACTCCCGACTCGTGAACCATCCACCACAAACTCGAGCACGAAATACAAGGATTCATGTAATGCCAACCCTGCAGAACTTACAAGCATCTGTCTCTCTGTCTCTCTGCCTCCCTCCTTTCCTTTCTGTCTGTCCGCGGGATCATCTGGCCATCTGTTCGTCTGTCCCTCAGTGCAACAGTTTGTCCGTATGTCCGTCTGTCTGTCCGTATGTCCGTCAGTCCGTCATTCGGTTCGTCATGCGAATAACATTACTTGGAACACTGCAGAAGGAAAGGAAAGGCACAAACAAATTAAGACCAGGCACAAGTTTGACTCCTTTTTTTTTTGTTGTGGAAACCTCCTTTTCCTTGTTTTTAAATTTTAATTTAAAAAGTCTGCCCCTAGGTAATTTGGAAGTACTTATTTTGTTAATCCGACGGCATCCGGATTCGAACTTGGGTCTGTATTTCAACAATTCATGGGTGTACCAACTGAGTTAGGCCCACATGTTTCACTCATCTGTTATGGATTTCCAAAAAGGCAATCAATCACATGCATCCTCGTCTGCACACACACTGGATTGAGATTAATCACACTCAGATTGCAAATGTCACACGAAGCTGGAGATTGCATCGAACCCCCGCTTGCGTCAAACCCCGTGAATACCCCGTGTCACTTCGCTCGGTACAACTCTTGGCATACTCCGCCCAGGTGCAAGCCTCCTGTTGGGCCAATAGAACCCTTCGAACAGTTGCAGGTGCGCTTGCGCGTGCTTCAGGCCGAAGTGGACCTCAGCGTTCGCACACTCTCCCAACACACCCCTCCGCTTTCTAAGTACATTAGGTCCTCGCTGCATCGTACAATCAATCATGCAACATCCAGTAGTCTTCCCAACTCTACGCACTCCCGACGGAACGGAGGAAATGGGATTTGCTTCTATCTTGCCAAAGACACGGGATCTAGACTCTAGAGTACGGTTCTGCAATCCTCGCCACGAGCTCATCGCTCCCATCTACTACACGATTGTCGCAAATTGATCTTGCTGCTGTGACAATGCGCGGGCCACCCAATTGCACCTACCTTCCTTATTGGAATCTATGACAACAACTGACCACCTCGCAAGCTTATCTCGAACTTCAAATGCAACCATCGCAGCGTTTACTGAGAAGAAGAGTATACCATAACGGGTCTACCAAACAAGTAGTGTCACCATGTGACCAGAGAGAACCCGCCGCTAGAGATAATGGAAGTTGTGGTAGGTTGGAAGCAAGTCTCGTAAGGAAAAAGGACCTTAGAACAATGTTTTTTTTAAGGAAATAACAACCTCGTGATTTTTCTTTATAAATCTTTCATCGAGAAGAATTTTGAATTTTCCTAGGCTGGTCCCCGGGCCGCCCGGCGGCCTGGTCGTCACCCGGGGGGGGGGGGGGGGGGGGGGCCGTCTGGCTGGTTGTCGCGCCCGGTTGGCCACCGGGCGCCCCCAGCGCATCACTGTAGGTAAGTTTTTTTGTTTTTTGGCGCTGAAGGTTTTTTTTTTTTTTTTTTTGGTGCTGGGGCCCTTTTTGCCCCCATCCTAGACTGCATAGACACCGAAAAAAGAAAAGGGGCCGGTAGGCCCAATTTCACCGATTTGAAATCAGACGCGATCTTGATCGTCGATCTCAAAGATCGACGGCCCAGATGGCTAGCAGTACAATAGAAGTCTAACCCAGCGCAACTCGTGAAGTCTCCAACATCAATTACATGTCCATTACTCGATCATATGCGCCATTCAAGAGTATTGTCTCATCAAAGAAGAGCATCTCTCTCTCTCTCTCTCTCTCTCTCTCTCTCTCTCTCTCTCTCTCCACACACAAACACACACACACACTTCGGGCTTCTCCCCTATCACCACCTCACGATTCAAGAGTATGCTCCCTCTGACATCGTCTGACATAATCACTGTGGAGATCATCACATGGTGCCCATCCTCCTTCCACCTCAGCAAGAAGATATGGAGGATGGCGCAGCGCTTTCTCACTTTTGTGGATACCAGCAGCAGATCACACGTGTCGTCGCCAGGTAAGTCCAGGTAAGCTCCCCTTTATCTGCCGTCAGTCTCACAGCCCTAATCCTCTTCCTCCTCGCAACCTCATCACCTAGTCTGCATCTATGCGGCTATGGCCGCGCCAATCATGACCTCCCTCTAGGCTGGCGCCCTTCAGCAGCGTCTGGCACCAGCATCCCACTCCAGCAGCCTTGCGACACAACACTAACATGAAGCCAGCACAAGGCAGAATGCCTTCCCCAGTGTCTGACTGTCCTTTTGTAGCGTTGAATAGTATTGACTGGCGTGGACCAGTCTCCCCTTTGGCGGTGTCGACGCTTGAGATTTGCCTGATCTCGATGGCCTGGATGCGTCCTTGGAGCATTGGATGCGCATCTGATCTATGGCCACGGCTGACTGCTGGTTCGACTTGGGGGGCTGATTTTCCATGCTTGGTCCGACTCTTGATTTTCCAAGCGTCAAACTACCTCACGTGGGGCCACTGGACACTTTTGGCCCAGGCCCTGATAGGCTGATACCCCTTGATCGTAGGCCCTTTCCATCACCCCTGTTTCTGGCCCCTGTTTTTGGCCCCTGTTTCTGGCCTTTTGGTCCCAGAAGTGACAGGGGCCTTTTAGTCCCAACAGAAACAGGCCCCTGTTTCTGGCCTTTTGGTCCCAGAAGTGACAGGGGCCTTTTGGTCCCAACAGAAACAGGCCCCTGTTTCTGGCCTTTTGGTCCCAGAAGTGACAGGGGCCTTTTCGTCCCAACAGAAACAGTCCCCTGTTTCTGGCCTTTTGGTCCCAGAAGTGACAGGCGCCTTTTGGTCCCAAGAAACAGGCCCCTGTTTCTGGCCCCTGTTTTTGGCCCCTGTTTCTGGCCTTTTGGTCCCAGAAGTGGCAGGGGCCTTTTGGTCCCAACAGAAACAGGCCCCTGTTTTTGGCCCCTGTTTGTGGCCTTTTGGTCCCAGAAGTGACAGGGGCCTTTTGGTCCCAACAGAAGAGTGGGGAATATTTCTCAGACTTGAGATGACGTCTGACCTCTGGTCCCAAAAGTGACAACCCTCGCCTTCGACGGGGTGGACATAAACTCAGTTTATTGCAAAACCTGCTGCTCCCAAATTCACTCTTCTTTCCATTAATTTTGTGCTTAGATATTCCTCATGCTCCTCCATATAATCTGCTGAACGTAAGGATATCGTCGACTAGAGCAAAGTTAGCAAACGGATTAAGCTACTGTCGCAGCCCGTCGCTCCCGGCTCGGTGGGAGGTTATGGACTTTGTCAGGCTGTTCATTGTCACTTTTCAATCTCGTAGAGTTCAAAATTCAAATTCTTCAAAAAGTCGCCTAGTGCCACCAGGCTGCGGGTGTCCACGCTTTTATTGCAGCGCCAGGAGGAAAATGTACCATATTTGTAAATACTCAGTGAGTCTCAGTGTTTACATGGATTGGATTTATCATTTATGCGAATTTTCAATTTCGACCTTGTTATTTGGAGATACGTTTGTCAGTCCCTCCTTTCTGTTTCTGACAGAGCGTTGTACGACTTTTTTTTTTTTTTTTTTTTTTGAAAAGGGTAATTCTTTAAGCCCAACCAATTCAATTACCTGTCATTATAGTATTACGGGGAACCCCGTAGCAGCCACATCTGAACGACATTTCTGCTAAACTGGCTGCCGGGACTTAACGAGCAAAATGGCCAACTGCTAGGCCTAAAATTGCAGGGTACCAACTGGCCTAGCTCTCAGTTGGTACACCACTGAACTGTTGAAATACAGACCTGAGTTCAAACTCCATTGGAAGCGGACTAGTATCCAGCTTCAACACCAAAAAAAAAAACGTCTGGGTACCCTGGTGCTACCCGGAGTGGATAGGGAGCAACACTTCCGGGCAGAGGTACAGGACGGCAAGGCAGGAGACGACACTCTTGCGTCGGTCAAGATGTTAATCCAGTTGGTCCTTAATCGACAGCAGGAACAGCAACACTTCCTGGCAGAGGCACGACGGCAAGGCAGGAAACGAGACGCTTGTGGGGGTCGAGCTGTTCATCGCTGGTTCTTCGACAACAAGGGTGAGACGATACGTTCACAGGATGTACCGTCACCGTCCTCTTTCTCGCACAGGTGCAGGAGGCTGTGGCAGGGAATGAGACGCCTGCGTCGGTCAAGCTGTTCATCCAGTTGGCTCTTCAACAACAAGGCCAGGATGATGCATTCAACAAGATGCGCCATCACCGACCTCTCTATTTGGCAAATTCTGGGTGCTCCCAAGTCGCTCACTCGCTGTATAAACTATGGCGAGCCTGCTGATTGACACGTTTTCTATTGTTTGCTTATTTTTTTACTTTTCTTTCTTCTACTTTTCTTTTCTGACCTAAGTCGCCTCTTTTTTTGTGCGCCTTTCTCAGCTTTCAGTCATTTGTCTGCAAATACATGATTTACGCAAAACAAATGATTTACGCGAAGTGTGGCAGTCCCTCTTTTTCCTCTGTGTAGAAAAGGGACCCATTTTCATTCTGCATAAACAGACTGTACGCCTTCCGCGATCACGTCTTCCACCTGATTTCTTGTTTCTTCAACAACATGACCACACGCCGGAGATGATAAAGGTGGTAGAGGTAGTGGATGCCAAAGTTCCACAGAGGTTATATGAATTCTTTGTCCGCATCCCTGCACCTCGCGCCGACCTCCGCTTCTACGTCTGTGTCTATTGTTGTTAAATTGGCTGCAAATACTCATTGTACTATACCACCAGCTTAGCATTCCTCACCAACATCCACATTCTCCTCCTCGTTTTCTTCTTGAAAGAATGCGAAAGAATCGCACATTGTATCATCAACACAGCACATCGAAGTGGGATGGAAAGATTGAGAACATTCTGCTCCCGCCCACGAATACCCAAATGATCATCACTTTTCTTCTCGCTCTGCATTTTCAGCTGCTTTAAAACTTAGACATATCCTTCCTCGCCNCGAATACCCAAATGATCATCACTTTTCTTCTCGCTCTGCATTTTCAGCTGCTTTAAAACTTAGACATATCCTTCCTCGCCCTTTCTCCCTCTTTCCGTTCACATATTTATCGACACCTAAAGGCAAAATAGCAAGTATTGTTCTCGATTTGTGTGTCACCTTTGTGCCGGGGCCATTCTAATCTTCTCTGTATCATTCCGTTTTTTTTAACCGCCAGTACACGGCTGCAGCCTTGCTGAAAAGACACTCGTCGCCTATGAGATGCCATCCGAGAAAGACGGCACACACGCACCGTCGATAAAAAAAATCTGTGGCCTGCATCACTTCTCGGATTCTGACAGGCGCCCGCAGCCGATAGCTGGATGTACTTGTGCTTTAACGTGTGTCCCAGAGGACCGAAACAGCAAATATGTAAAGTATATCCACATTTAAATCCACATTTAAATCTGACAGTACTATAACATAATCAAAAAGTAACCCTGCCCAAGCGTCAAGATTCGAAGTTTGAACCCTGGATCTGTCCACGGTCGTGTAGCTCTTTATTCCTCCTTTCTCATTCTTTTTCGTCAAGTGTGAGCTCATTTCAGTTGCGCATATGCCTGCCGAAACACATGTTCATGTGCGCCTCCGCGGCTTCCATAGCAGCCTGAACTACTATTACTTGCTTCGTGGTTCCAGTCTTCAAGTGGGTAGTTAGGATGGACTGCATAAGCAAGGGGCCACCCGCCACCCCCCATCCACCTCCTCGATCCCAACCATGGTCTCCACAATTGCCCATAACTCTATAGACATGCCTTCAATCCAACGTTCAAACCACTACGGCGAGTGCACTTACCCCGTAGACATCTTCCAGCGTGCATCCGACAACATCCAGCCCGTCGCTGTGATCCATCTCCATCCTCGACATGATCGGGGTGCTGCAAGGGAATCCACACACACACACACACACACACACACACACAAAAACAAAAAAAACAAAAAAAAAGAAAGGAGTACCTGCAAGGTCAGGGGGTTGGCAACCGCTCTTTCTTAAAAAAGGGCGACCAGGAGCATTGACATAACATCATTGATGTTGAATGAACTACCCCCCCCCCCCTGACTACATTCAGAGTTATTTTTTACTCCTCTGCTTCCATTCGGATTCAAACTCTGGTCTGTATTTCAAAAAGTTTATGGGTGTACCAACTGAGACCTAGGCCGGTTGTTAAACCACTACGGTTTTTAACCGAATAGAACGCACGGTAATTATCGCCGTATCTGGGCTGAAAGTCGTGCCAAATACAGCTATAATGACCCGGCGTTCTATTCGAGGAGACGGTAGTACCATTGTCGGTTCGGAAAATAGTGAGTGGGCCTCCGACCTTTCAGGAGGCGACGGAAACGAAACGACGGCCACCGATCAGATTTATCAACGGCAGCTGTTGTCGGGCCCGGCCTCCTGAAAGTTCGGGACTGGGCTAAGACTTGCTGAAACTGGACGGCAAAGGTACTAGTCATTTACGGGTGGCAACTGCTAAACGAAGGAACTGATGGACTCATTTTTTTTTTATTTTTTTTTTTCCTTTTTTCATGCAAAGGAGATCGACAGGGGGAAATGTTAGCTGTATTATACTAAGGAAGAGTATGTATTATATTAAGCAAGAGTACAGTTAGGCAGGTAGGAGTAGGTATAGACAGCAGCCGCAGAGCTGCGTGGGGTCTGTAGATGAACGACCTGCAGGCGTTCAGCCTGTAAGCTGAGCAGGTTTGAACCAGGGGTAGTGTAGAGGACCCCGAACTCTAAACTTGAATAAGTTATGGATTTTGAAATTTTGGGGGGATTAAAATAAAAATAAAAAAAATTGACAGGGAGGCGAGAAGAAAGGAAAAATATCTGGAAGAAAAAACGAATATCAAAATGATCTCTCTGGGGAAGATGAGCTTGGGGATTAAAATAAAAAAAATAAAAAATTGACAGGGAGGCGAGAAGAAAGGAAAAATATCTGGAAGAAAAAACGAATATCAAAATGATCTCTCTGGGGAAGATGAGCTTGCACAAATAGAGGGAAAAGAGTTGATCGGAACAAGAAGTAAACCATGCTGCATGGGAGCGAGAGTGGGAGCGAGAACGACACACACACTGCCATCTTCCGACAAATAGAAAGTGTGGTCATTAAATAGCTTCCCGTGGGGGCAGCTTTCAGTCTAGATACAGCAATGCTGACTGTATGTCCTGTTCGGGGGAGGGCAGTACAACTTCACCGGAAGGACGAGCAGGAGGTGAAAGAGCAGCAGGAGGAGGAGGAGGAGGAAGATTAAAACGATAGGGATTTCACAACTTTGGGAGAGAGGAGGACGTCCCTCCTGTGTATATAGTGATGAATCAAGGGACAGGGAGGCTGAGCTGCGTCCCCTCCTCACCTCCACTCACTTATCCGCACATGAAGGCAAGCCTCAAAACATAATGACAAAAGGCCCTTCATCATTCTAGCTGGGCAAAACACTCGCTAGACAGCCCAGGCAAATAAATGCTATTTTTTACTGCTTCTTACACCACCGCCACCTCCGAGCCTTGTTTTTGCCGCCGAGACGGAAGAGAACTGTGTGCCAAGCTCTGCCGACGCCAGCGTGGCCATTCTTCTTTTTTTTTTTCCCCTTCGGCTTGCGCCGCCAGCCATTGTGGTGCGTTAGCACCGTTCATCTGAAGAACTTTCGATTTTCGACGTAACCCCCAGAAAGGCTGTGGCAGTTTAACAAAACGATGGCATAAGCTCTCGACCTGGCAACACAGTCTCAAACTTCCGTGGTGCTCCCCCTACCCCTCCATGCCCCCCCTCCCGTGGCGCTCCCCCTACCCTCCACCCCCTCCGCTAGTGGTCTCCCTACCCCTCCCTGAGCGCTCTCCCTACCCCTCCCTGTAGTCCTCTCCCTACCCCTCCCTGTAGCGCTCTCCCTACCCCTCCCTGTCGTGCTCTCCCTACCCCTCCCTGTAACAAGCATCTGATTCATCTGAGAAGGAGGTGAAGGGAGGCTCAGAACATGCACACACACACACACATATCAGACTTCTGCGATCCCCCCCCAACCCTCCCTGCTAAATCCATCTGCAGAGGAGGTGGAAGGGGGCTCCCTGCTCCCCCCCCTCCTGTGGTTCTCCCCCTACCCTTCCCCACTCTGCCTCCCCTAGTGCTCTCCTGACCCCTCCCGGTGGGAAGCACTGGATCCATCTGCGGAGGAGGTGGAAGGGGGGCTTAGAACATGCACACACACACATGCACACGATTCGAACTCCGCCTCGGGGAAGAGGGAGCGAGAACACATTGACAGACACAAATCCGTCTGAGGGCATATTCATTCTACTAAGCTCTGGACGTGATTGCAGCCAGATTCATAGACTTTTTCTACTAAGCTCTGGACGTGATTGCAGCCAGATTCATCAAGATCTGGACATGATTCGATCCTATGACCCACTGTCGTAACTGCAGTCAGACACATTTAGAAATGTCCTAGTGTGAGTATGTCCTGATTCAGTTCTGGACTCAACTGGCGGACGACTGGGTGGTACAAGAAAAGAGTTTCAGCAGCAATTGCAACATGGAATATGCCAGGTCCAGAGGTCTCAATTTGAGTACCATCCAGGAGTCCAAAGGTCTCAACTTGAATACACAGCACCTGAATATGCCAGGTCCAGAGGTCTCAACTAGTGTACATTACCACAGCACCGGAATATGCCAGGTCCAGAGGTCTCAATTTGAGTACTTTAGCACAGCACCGGGTGTGCTAATGCTCGCAAGGTGCCTCGACTTGAGTGCTTCAGCACAAATTTAGTACCTTATCACAGCATCAGGTATGGAACCTGTGCGTAAACACATGCCTGGGAATAGCCTGACGGCTACCGTCCTCCCCCGAACACACATTCCACCCTCATCATGATCGTACCATGCCAGAGAGATAGCTTATATACATTCACGATGCGGACTCTTTGCGTTCAGGGGGAAGAGGGGGCTGGTCACACAGGTCAGTCCGGAATCAGTCCACGGGCTGGTCACACAGGTCGATCCGGAATCAGTCCGTCCGAGGGATAGAAATGCAAATGTGCTGGGATCGAGGAGATAGCAGAAAATAAAAGGCCCATTACCCGGCAGTTTTCAATCCAGCGACCCAGCCCTGGCCAGAACCATAAAGCATGTAGCTCTTGCCGTCAGAATCAAACAAATAACAGCCGGGAAATAAATGCGAAAAAGCTCACAGCTAGAAGGATCAAGCAAATAACAGCCTGGGAATAAATGCGAAACAGCTCAGCTAGAAGGATGTAAGGCATTATAATTTGTAAGCCCTTTTTTTTCTCTGAAAAAGGAAGGTAGCGATCGGAATCTGGCATTGAATCTGGTCAGAAACTGCACAGAGAAGGACAGAGAAGAGCCTGCCTGAGAGAGAATGGCTTCCGCAGTCGTGCGAGCGCTTCATTGCCAAACAATTCCGTCTCCTCGGCGAGCCGAACTAGGAATCTCCTCACAATATCGCCCAGGTACATTCCAGATATCATCTTCTCGAAGATTTGCTCGCCCTTGTTCAAGCTCTCCTTGTCCAATTCCCGATCCGCAAAAGTGTACGGCAGATAGTGCGATGCATAGTTCCCCCATTCTGTGTTCACAACCTGCACGAAAACCAAAAAACGGACTTAAAACATTTTCAAAAATACGTACTTTTTCTTTACCTTCAAGTACGAGTGCCTTTTCTTTTTCTTTTTTTCTTTTTTTCGCTTCTTTTCTTAATCCCTTCCACAAACACCCTGCAAGGAACCACCAGCAATGAGAGCAGAAACTTTCCGGCATCGAAAGACTCAAAGCAGAACCGCATTCATAAGCAAAGTCGAAAGCAGAATCACAAAGCCGACAACACACCAAATAAGCACAGACTGACACCGAGGTCTCATGATAAAGAAAGCCCAACTTCTCAGTACAAAAACGACGTAGGAGTTCCGTCTCATCTGACTGGCAGACACTGCGTCCCAATGTGTTCGACGCTACAGCCCCGCTTCCTATTCTGTTCCTGGAGGCCGGGCAGCCTGACTGGTAATGTTCGGAGCCCAGTCTGAGAACATTCTCAGAAGCTTCCCGACTGGCACCGTTCCGAAAATCAGACCCTTCGCCTTTATCCGATATAGAGAATCAGACCCTCCGTCTAATAGATCCAGCCCAGTCTGGGATGGATCTATTGATTCGATTCTATTATTATCTGATCATTTCTGATGGCCATTCGCTATGTCTACTCTTCGCTGCTAATTCCTCTTGGCTGCCATCATCAAGAGCAAGAGGTGACCCTTCGTCTTCCAGTCCTGCGGCAGTTCAATCTTGGTCCGACTGCCACTAT